TGCAAATTTAGTTCATGTTTGCTCTGAAATGTCCAGCTGAATTTAAATGTCAGGTAAGAGCACATAGCAATTGTTTTCAAGCTTCCCAGATGTTAATAGATTTGTGTGTGTGTGTGTGTGCGCGCACGCGCGTGCGCCTTCAAGTCAGTGTTGACTCCTGGCAACTGCCTGGCCAAGTCCCTGCAGTTATATTGGCAAGGCTTTCGGAAGTGGCTTGCCATTGCCTGCTTCCTAGGGCTGAGGGAGAGAGACTGGCCCAAGGTCACCCAGCTGGCATTTTGAGTTCCTGTATTCCCTAGCCAGCATGATCACTGGTAACATATAGAACTACCAGTATGCAAACATTCAGACGACGATTAGATGGTAGCACAGAGATATGGCAATCTCTCTTTGCTACCATCCACTGGTCATCTGGATTTTAGAAGCTCAAGGAGTGTAGACCTAATCAAGAGTGGTGAAATTTGTAATGAGATTATCCCTGGAAACATAAATGTAACAATAGTTGGTTTACTGTTCTTTTAACTCCCATGAGTGAAATTTAAGCAGTATTTGTTCAGATAGCAATTAAATGCTGATGTTTTGATGTGGATATCTAAACATAACTAATAAATAAATCCTGAACTCAGTTGGTACCCCCATAATCATGACTGGGGAATGGCTCTAGGTAGACCTGCTCGTGTGAGGACTAAATTGTGCTGCAGGCCCCTGCCTATAAGCCCCATTCCCAATATTCCTGTGAACATGGTGACTTTCTAAACTTTTGCCCATTTCACATAAAATAAGTTTAGAGACCCATTTGGGTGAACAGATTTACAAATCTCCATGTGGTCAGGATTCTGGCCTAATCAGTGTTCTCAAAGGCAGGGATTTAATTGCCTTCAAATGAGCATGGTTGCAACCCCCTTCAGGTCCTTGCTTACTAATACAGAGGAATTGGGCACAATGTTTGGAGGGTGAGCTTTGGGGAGTATGCCAGCCCCCTGCATAGAGCTAGTTTTGTTTTCCATGTAAAGCAGGAGAGACTAGAATGATCATCCTTTCTCCGCACATCACATTATCTTATTCGCAATACAAAGGCTGTGGATTGTCAGATTAAAATGTGGTTGTCCTGTTTGTGGTCCAGTGTCACACAAACAACCACATTTTAACCCGGCAATCTCAGTCTGAGGGGCTAAGGCAGGGTTCTGTGCATTCTGTGATATGGAGAATTGGTTTAATTTAGTAAGCAGAACTGAGAGCAAGTTTGGTGTAGTGGTTAAGGCACCAGGCTAGAAACCAGGAGACCAGGAGTTCTAGTCCCTTCTTAGGCACAAAGCCAGCTGGGTGACCTTGGACTAGTCACTCTCTCTCAGCCCTAGGAAGGGGTCAATGGCAAACCACTTTTGAAAAATCTTGCCAAGATAACTGCAGGGAATTGTCCAGGCAGTCGCCAGAAGTCAACACTGACTCGAAGGCACCAAAAAAAAAAAAAAAATTATAGAAAAGAAATAAAATTAGTGATGAAAAAAATATTCTTCTCCCCTGGGCACTTAGCATCTAGATGTACCAAGGATTGAAAATGGATGTATTTGCACACAAAACATGTATTCTTCTGCTGAATCCCAATCTATGCTAATGTAGCATAACCAATAATTTCTCTCTTCACTGTTAATGCACTTTATTTATTTTACATATGCTTCAGAAAAAGATTTTCTGAGCATTGTACAGGATGATTTGAAATATACTAATATATAAAATGAACATGCCACCACAACAAAAATTAATATGAAATACAAAAATCAAAGCAACAATCAAATAGGAAAACAAAAACCATAGTACTAGGAGTAAATGCTTGTATTTTAAATACTAAAATTAGTAAAGCCAGGCACATAAAAACAAACCCCAACCCGTTGTCAACTACTATATGTGGGTGCCAGATGATCTTTCCTTGGGAGAACATTTCAAGGCTGAGGAGATGCTACAAAAAAAGGCCCTGTCTTATTTCCATCCTCCATGTACGCTTGAAGAAGGGTTTCTGTAGATGACCATAAAGCCTAGGAAGGTTTCCTTTCTACCCCAAGTAACATATAACTAGCATACAGCTGGAAACAGACATTTATTTATTTTTAAAAATTGTATGGCCACTCATCTTAGGGCATAACTTTGGGCAGCTCACAACAATAATAAAACTACAAATCATAAAAACAGAAACTGAAGCTGGGGCAGGGGGGACAGTGCCTCAATCATCTCCTAGGATGCCTCAACAACCATCCATAGGCTCTCATCACTGTATCCTAGCACCCGGGTAAACAGCCAGGCCTTGATGGCCTTCTGGAAGGCTAAAAAGGTGGGGACCTGCCAGTTCGCCACAGGGATAATCACCGGAAACATAAATGTGAATGAAGTTTTTTTGCTTCTGCTATTTTTTTCCTTAAGAAGCAAAAGTGGAGATGATGTGCGGAGGGATGCAGTTAGAAAGCAGAGAGTCAGATTCCTATTACATGTAGAAGTGCCCAAATGATCAAAGAATTGCAAGAACAGCGGTAGAATCATTTATGTAATTCACACATTTCTTTCTTTACTCTTCATTCTATCAGTTACTCCTGCTGCAGCTCAGGTTCTTAAAACATATCAAAAAGCCCTCATAAATCTTTCATAGGCTGCAAATATAGTCAAGAAGGAAAAACTGAGGAATCTCATTTGGTGAGTTCCTAAATGTGTGTGCATTGGAGGGGAGGGTGGAATCTCCCTTGACAATCAGCTTGTACTTTTCACTTTTGCTAGAGATGTTCTGTCATTCTTTCTTTTCTTCCATCCTAACCACTTAATTACAAAGCATGTCGCTGTAAAGTAGAAATGAAATAATATCGTTTTGTTGAAGAGACACATTGTTAAAAATACAAGATGTGTTTTATCAAATATGAAGAATGAGGTTATGATTTAGAAAGTAATCAGCAGTCCTTGTTTTCCTTTGTTTAACAACGTACTTCTGAAGGAAGAATGGAGCCCTATCAACAACTCAAATGATAAATGATGATAATAACATGCTTAAGAGTTTGTCAAGTATCTACCACTCAGAGTTAAAATTAGCTTGTTGTTAAAAAAAACAAAAAAAACCCTCTTTCTGATACTCAGTTGTTATATTTGTCTCAAAACAGGTATAAATCTACACTGTACGGTAGATTGTATGGTGATGAGGTGATGTGTCATCTCATCACCATACAAGGTGACATTACAGAGATGACCAGGAAAGGACTTGAACCCATTTAGAACACTCAACATTTTAGTGAATTTTTCTGAGTGCATAAATTTTTACACAAAATAATCTAACAAATTCAGATATAATAATTTCATATGCTTCTTTTCAGACAGCTCTGTATTTACTTTATGCCAATGAATGGTAAACACTTAGCAATATTATTACAGACAACTGAATGAGTTACCATTCTAAGAGGAGAGTATAAATAATGAAAGTGTTGTGCTTGGTATCAGAAAATGGAATTTGTGATCATCGCTGAAAGCTAAACACAGGAGAGCAAAGGCTGGCAATTTATATTTTCAATTTTGAAGGCAACCCAGATGGTTGAGAGTACCTGAACTGTTGTTACCTCAAGACCAAGTTCCATCAGTGGATCGGGGAAGCTTCTAGATGCTTCATGTCTAGAGTCCTGGGAAGTGCTTGTTACAACTCATATGCCATTGGGCAGCTCTTAGACAAATGTGTGTACATGTGCACAAGCCAATGGAAAGCAGACAAGTTCAATGGGTACTTACCACTGTGCCTAGAGATGATGTGCTCACTGTTGCCTTTTTTTAGATACTTTTACTTAAAAAAATAATTAATGGGATAATGAAATGCTGCTAAACTATAAATCTTTAGCATCATCTTTATTTTCAAAATGGTTCAAAGCTCCATATATATTCCATAGGCCCTCCTAGAAAATAAACATGTAGGTTGGCTGCAGTCCAACATCTGGGAATGCACTCATTTGATCAGGAAAAAAAAAAAGGAAAAAAGGAAAGTTGATTAAACAGTGACTAACTGGAAGGATTAAAGAATGTGGAGGAGGAGCCTCACTACTTAGTCTTCCTGTAAATGGGTGTGTTGTGACTGGCCATGCAGATGAATGGGTCAGTCCTCACATTACCAATAATATTCATTCTCTAGTAATGCCCACTACATGCTCTCAAATTTCCAGATGTGCACACTGGTCCAAAAAGGTTGCTACTTCCATGCTGGGAGATACTTAGAATTGTAGTGAGGCTAAATATCTCAGGAAGAATAGCGTTCTACATACCTCTCAGAATCAGTGAGGTCTAGTAATTGGAACATCAGAAAGAATTAGGGAGTTACCTTTTCAAATCACCACTCAGCTAATAAGCTCACAGGCTATTCCTGGATCATTCGTTGTCTTTCAGGCAAAACTCTTTTGGGGACTATGGAATGGAATAGGGTTATACATGCAACCTCGTATTCCTGGGAGGAAGGCTGGGATAAAGATATGATGGAAATCATCTCAGGAATGCTTATGATAGAAATAATTAATCTAATGCCACAGAGAGTAAACATGATTTGTGGTTAAAAGGCAACATTGTGTCACAGCACAGTCTCTCTTGGATGTTACGCTGCTGTATTCTGCTATGGCCAAAATGAAGGGAAAATTCAGAAACCTGCAGAAAGGAATCATCCTAAACAGCAGGATTTGTGTGGTGTTCAGAATCTGCAGGCACAACATTGTATCTTGATGAATGGACTGCTCCCAACTATTAAAGTAAATGGCAAGTTTCATTCTTATTTCCATGGAACAATATTCACATTAACCCAGCCCACCCTCTGAGAAATGAATCTGAAGAATCATTTGAAAATCCATCACCAGCACCAAAATACTTGTGAAAAACTCCTTTTGGGGAATCAGTACTTGTCATTGGTAGTTCTATTTTCTGGGCTGCATGACGCATGTGCTAACAATCTGCTAAGAGCAGCACATTGTTTTTGCAGATACAAGAGATGGAGATGATACCTTTTCCAGCTGTTGGATTCCTTCTTCCACACAGCATACCGAGGCTAGTGTCCGGAGTATTTGAGGATATAGGCACCTGAAGCAATCTTGACGGCAGATCTTGAGCAAAGCAACAATGCCTCCTTCCTATAAGAAAAAAAATCAGTAAAATAAGTTAAAAAATAGTCTATTATTACACACTAAATCTTACATCAGAACCAAAAGTTAAGGGGAAAAAAATCTTCCCAACAATATGAGTAGTTCAACAGTAGAAGCCCATGTTCTAGAATCAGGTCCCAGTACAGTGCCTGTGTGCTCCAACATCTGTATCAGCATTCCCCAACAGGATCCCTAATTGCCTTTTTTTTCAAAAAGTACTTTTAATTAAAAATAAATGGGAACTAGCATTCCGCAAACCAAAAAAACATCCTCAAACATAATCTTTATTTCCAGGAATGCTTCTGGGCTCCAGGTAAACCCCAGAGGCATTTGTAGAAAATAAAATGGTGGTTGGCTGCAACTCAGTACTTTGTTTGACAGTGTGCCTCCAGTTCAGAAAAAAAAAGTAATAGAAAGCAACTAAAAGACCATAAGAAGTTGCAGAGAATAACTTCACATATTTGCCTTCTGCTAAGTAAATATTTTGTGACTGGTTATGCCCACACAGTAGCCATAAAGTAGTCTCAAAATTCCAAATGTGCACATTAATCCAAAAACATAGATTGTTCAAGCAGAAACCAGACAGCCATTTATCACAGATGTTTTAATGTGGATTTCTGCCCTGAGTAGGGGGGTTGATGCAGTGTTATAAATGCTTCCTTCCAACTCTATGATTCTATTATTGACCTTTTAGTAATTTCTGGTAAACACCTATCACCACCACAGGAAGTAAGCCTTGTTGAAAGCTAGCCATGCAAGCAAACTGTTTAATGTTGCACAGGCCAACTCTTTGCATAGTGACTGCCTGCACAGACTCATTTCATAATTTACCCAACAATTAGGTTCTCATCTGTTAAAAATATGGGGAAGTCCTTGTCATAAAGCTTGCATCCTGGTGCACTGGAAACACCGTTGCTTATAACAGTATAAGATTAACCAACTTCTAGTAGTTTAAATGCCTCTAAACTGATCCTAAAACAGAATACTTTCTGGAGAACATTATTTTATAAGTCCTCTAGAAAAAGCAAAGAATCTCAAGTGGACTTTAAGATAATTTTAGTCAGACATGCATATCTCTTCTTAACCAATTAAACTTTTTGCAGGTAAATTATATGAGAAGGAAACCAAGCTGACCTTTGCTATTCAGTCTTACAGTCCACTTCACGGGGCTGTTTAATGACCATGCTCTAATATAATTAATTCCTTCCAAGGAAATTCCCCACTTCCCCAAATAATGACTCATTTTTCTTCTCTAAATATCCTTTTAGAAAAGCTTCATTTTTCCTACAACTGGAATAAGTAGCCATAGGGTATCTCATCTTCCCCAATTACCCCAGAGCAAAGGTAAAGCTGAAATAGTTGTCAGTGGTCAATTTGTGGGATCCTGGCTCCTACTTACTATTTCTTAGTGCATTCCCTAACCTCAAGTCCAGAAATATTGCCCATTTCTTTCCTAAATGATGGCAGATATCCTGTAACAATGGCTCTATCTAGAATAGCTTTGGAAAGGAAAGCTTCATGAGCTACTAATATCACCTCTAGAATTAGATATGCTAGAATTCAGTCCCTGATTCTGACTCAGCTGTACAGTCCATGGCCAACAAAATCTGGTTTCATTCCTTTGGGAGAGGGGTGCATGTGTGCATGCATTCAAGTCAGCTGACGACTGCCTGGACAAGTCCCTGCAGTTTTCTTGGTAAGATTTCAGAAGCAGTTTGCCTTTGCCTCCTTCCTAAGACTGAGAAAGAGTGACTGGCCCAAGGTCGCCCAGCTGGCTTTGTGCCTCAGGCGGGGCTAGAACTCACAGTCTCACAGTTTCTAGCCTGGTGCCTTAACCACTACACCAACCTGATTCTCTTCATTCCTTTGATTCCACCAATAAAATCTGTGTCTCCCTGCCAAATGTCTGTCAAAAATTCAACCTACAGTATTTGGGGAAGGATGTTTTGCTTTCACAGGCCATGTGTGGTTAGCCTCTTTTCAGTTACAGGGCGCTGATTTAAAAAAGCCTCAACCAACTATGTAGCAAAGCCAATCACAGAAGTAAGCCTGAGGCAGAATGTGCTGGTCTCATCAGCTGGTGATCCACTAGGCAGTCCTCTGTCTAGAGCCAATCCTGGGCTGGCTTATAGATGTACCAACTTAATGAGATATTTCAGTGTTCAATCTGAGGTTTGTAGTCTCCAAAAAGAAAGGTCAAAGCAAGATAATGATAATGATTTCTAATCTAGCTTATAATACTGATGTTCCCAGATAGTCTCTCATTCAAATACTAAGCAGATCCAATCCATTCTAACCTCCAAGCCAATCTCTGGCAATATATCATTATGGAGGTTCAATACAAGAACTGGCTAGTGCAGACATAAACTTAAATCTGCTTAGCCCTACAGGAAGTTTATTACTGACTAGGTGGGAATTATTTGCAGATAAATGGAATTAGGATCTTGACCTGAATGGTTCTTAGTTTTGTGGAATAATCCTTTTTCATTTGCAGCATATGGCTATAAGGCAATTCAGAAAGCTTTACTGGCATGGATACAACCAAAAAATGTGAATGAAATTCTATTGATTTCTGGAATTAATACTATGCAAAAACTGTATCTTCAAATCACTTACTCTTGAAGTCACTGCAGTTGGGCACAGATATGCAATGGCAAGAGAACAAAGACTGGTATGGACATTGTTGCATATAAAAATAGCTTGATAGTTCTTTTTAGGCCAATTTTAATCTTATAAAAATAGCTTGATTATTCTTTTTAGGCCAATTTTAATCTTGAAAAAATGGAAACAATAGATTATTTACTTAGTACCTTCGATCAATCATGATTCCTGATGACTATGTAGACAAATGATTTGGAGCTTTTTCAAAAGTGGTTTGCCATTGCCTTCTTCCTAGGGCTGAGAGGGAGTGACTGGCCTCCAGCTGGCTTTGTGCCTAAGAACCTAGCCTCCTGATTTCTAGCCTGGAGCCTTTAACCACTACACCAAACTACCTCTCAATTATTTATTAGGATAATTTATGTCTTGGGCTTTCAGGATAAAAAACTTCCCAAAGGAGCTTTAAAACAATGAGTGTTGATGAATCCACTTGCCAGGAGAGACATTATTTTTAATAACTTCCTATTCTGGGACAAAACAAGTAGCTGAGTGACCAGCTCATCACCACTGGAAAGTGAGAGGGAACCATACTGCATTGGCACTGCAAACCATGTTCTAGGCCATAGTCAAGCTGCACCTTCTTTCTTCTGAACTGCCTCCACCAAGAACAAGCCTGAAGATTTCAAGCAAGCATCTGTTTGACAAATAAAGAGGCTTGAAGAACTATCTTTGCAATAACTTTTAAGAGAGCCAGTCTATTATACCAGAGGCCTTTTCAGAAATATTATGTGCATGCAAGTTCATAATTTTAATTTTCTTTAGCCATGCTAAACACAGCTAAACACTGCATTCAAGGGTAGGAAGTAAGGATAATCATGTTAGCTTTGCCCCTCTTCATCATCATCCTCACTGTTCTCTACATGTAGATGATAGCCATGTGCATTGGAGAGACTGCTCTATCTATCCTCTCTTACAGTCATAATAATGTGGGAAGGTTGGTATAAATCTCTAAAGCAATGTTTCTCAACCTTGGCAGTTTGAAGATGCGTGGACTTCAACTTCCAGAATTCCCCAGCCAGCATGCTGGCT